TATATATATATATATATATATATATATAGGTGACCAAGTGAGCACAAGTGAAGTTATGTTAGTGAAAGTGAAGTTAGATTGCATGATTGTTAGTTTAGCTATAATGGGCAATATTTTAAAGTGAGTTTCACAGTTTAATGGAGATAAGGAGAGTAATTTAACTAGAAAATATGACTAAAATATATGACTAGAAAAATTAAAGAATATTTTAAAAAACTAAAAGATAATTTTGTTTTAATATCAGATTGCTATTTTCTTATTAAACTCCACAGCTAGTGTCTAAAGAAAATAACAGAAGGATATGAGGTTTCTTGTGAGAAAATACAAAAAAGGACTAATATTATACAACCAAGTAAAAGAGAAATAAAAATATTGTATTTTGGTATGGTATTTGTTATTTTAAACCCACATGGCTAAACATCAAGGTCAGAGGGCCCATAGCTTCAAGCACAGTTGTTACTAATTTTGATATGTCAATCAAAATGAGGGCAATTAGTCAGTATCTTAAATTCCCCACATAGCTATGCTTTATCAAATAACTCTATTAACTGTCACTTTTGTAACATGTCCTCAGCTGAAAGTATGCCAAAGAACGTATTCAAAGGCATAATGTGAGCATGAACCTACTGATACACAGCCTGGCATGGTAATCACTAGCCCTTGCCCAGCCCAGGTATTTTACATATTAATAAAAAAACTTCATAAATACATGTAAGTCTGAAAAAGTAAAGACATCAATTAAGTAAAAAGTAGAGAAATTTGAAAAGACCAGAGCTATAAGCATTATGAGAAGGCATGCAGAAATCTTTTTTAAAAAGTGAAAGTAAATAAAATTTTATAATATCAAAATGTATTCTTACTGACTATTTGTGCCCACTTCTTTGCCTTCCAAAATACCTTCACTTCCATTTTCCTCATTTTTTCTTTCTTCTGTAAAACTTGTATCTTTCGTTAGGCTTGAAAGTAAGTCTTCTGCTATTGTAGCTTCAATTGCAGACTTAGGTTGAGCTGGATTTTCATACAATCCTTTTATCATCACAGAATCAAAAACTGGTAAATTAACTGTTGGAGAATAGTTTACATCATTCTGGAAAATATTCTCTCCATATAATGCCTGAAGTTGATTGCCATCCAAATTTTCATGACTTGTTCCCAGGTAAGACTTATTGCAAAATGCACTGGCTTTAATCCCTTGGCTTATCAGTTGGCCAATAATTGAGTTTTTACCTTGTTGTTTAGCATCTTTTATGCTCATACTTAAATGTTCTGTGTTATTATTTCCATCTGTACTTAATCTGGGGACAAACATAAATTTACTTTCTGAATTTCCACTTCGAGAATTAACTGGAGTGAATGTTTCATTTTCTAGTGGATTAGTTTGGATTTCCAGGACACCTCTGTTGCCAGAATCTCCAATGGTACTATTAAGGGTTAACTTATTTTGACTGAATGATGAAACGTGATCAACAGTCTCACTATCAGAATGTTTTTGTCGAGCAATGGTGAGCTTAATAGCCTCAGGAACAACACTAAGATCTTCACCTTCAGCCATAGCATAACTTAATGCTTTCATGGCTTCTGTATTTGTCATGTTTAATAAAGAAATTCCATTGATCTTAACAAGCTGGTCATTAGCGAGAAGTTGACCATCCTGATAATAAAGTGAAGAATAGATAGTAATTCAAATCATTAAAACCACATTTTTTTTAAATCTCAAAAGAGCTTAACATACTAAAATTTAGTTAGTAGGATTCTATTAATTTTGAAATAATTCTTGTGCTCAAAAGTGGCAGAATGCATAAATTTACAAGCACTTTATCAGTAAGCATTTTTAGAATTAAATACATTTATTTATTTTTTACATTTGTTACAAAAACTTCTTTGTGATGGGGAAGCCATATCAAAATATAAAGATATGAATATTAGTTAAAAAATACACTTGGCAATACAAGTTATGCATTTTGTACTTTACAATATTAGCATAAATAAATAAAATTTACATTAGAAATTATGTCTTGTTTCAGGAAGTTCCTAAACAATTCCATCAGTTCAGTTGTACCTCACTCAATATTACAAATGTAATATTTGAATAAATATCATTTACTTCATTTAAGCTTTCCAATATGAAATACATTAACAGAAGTATTATAATTTTTATATTACATTTATAGTACATGCAATTTTCTCATAATACATGGTCAGAAAAGCCATTAAGTTGATGTTATTCTAGCTGTCTTTGTTCATTTGTCATTCTATTGAAGTCGCATCTGTTCTGCCCATGGTAAAAAGGCTGTAATACTGCAAGTTGTACAGGAATGTACAAAACAACTGTGTCCCCCTGTGGTAGATCAGGTGATATTTCGAGATTACAACCCCTCTTGTGTTTCAATGGGATTGACCAATAGTGATATAGGTGACACTCATATCTTGAAATGGAGAGTATTATAGAATTTGATACATAATATTATTATCTCTTCGTTAACTCTTTCTCAGCCCAAGCACTCAATTTGGTAAGTGAAATTTACATCCTTTCTTTGTAAATAGTAAAACTCTCTTAAAGTTTAACCTGTAACTTTAAGTAAATCTTATTAAACAGCTTCATAAGTTTTAAAAAAATGAAACTAGGCAGTAAAGGCACTGTCCTTAGTCCAATAAACACAATATTTTGATTTTTTTAAAGTCTAAATAAAAACTTGATTTCTCTGTGTGTTTTACGTTATGTAAAGTCTCTTTTTTCACAAACTCAGTCAAAGCCAGAGAATTAAGGTTTTCTCCATGGTATATTTCCAAATCAAATCTCTCATTATTACACAGACCCATCATGTTACTTTTGTGGAAATTCCATTTTATCTGAGAATACCACATAGTCAGTTAATACTCTAATCATAGTGCAGTAAAATTATCTAATTCCACTCTGGAAATTAGTAAAGAGTATCAAGAAGCATAGGGTGTAAATTGTCTTAGCTGGTAAAACATGTAATAATATCTGTGTATTATAACATCATAATATGACAGACAACAATTTAAACACATTATTATCTAGTAGCCTAGTCCAGGTTTATAGTAAAAAGACTGTATATTATCAGTTCAAATGTATCCTATTCTGTTGTATGTGATAAAGTTTTTGTTCAATATCAAAGTTCGAATAGAAGTGAAAGAATTTAAATATATGACTAATGAACATCCATATTATAAATTAATTGGAAAGTAACTAAACTGATTGGGAGGAAAAAGTTCGTGTTAGAGCTAATTGTAACCATAAGTTATGATAAATTTTGTACTTACTTTAGATGCTACACCACCATGAATCACAGATTTCACAAAAATACCTAGATCCATGTGACCATTTTCAGTTGAGGTGGTTTTGCCTCTTACACTGATCCCTAAACCAGCTGACTCTCTGCTATTTAATGGAATTTCAAATGTCAGAATATCTTTGGGTTTCCAAGGGTAGATTTCATATTCATCTCCAGCTTTATCTAATGGCTGAGAACCAACGATAAGGTATGAAAGATATTACTTCTAATTTTAGAATGAGATGATTTCATATGAACAAACACAAAAAATAAAGAAGTTTTCTTAACAGAAACTCTGAACATTCTCAGCCTAATTGTTCTAGACTTTTCTATTTGTTATTGTTTGCTTTCTCTTATTAACGAGGTAGAATCTTTGTCCCAGCTTACATGAATCTAATATCACTATTGCAATTTTAGCATCTACTCCGATGGGAAATTTCATTAAGGAAGAGTTTCTACATTAGTCTCCATTCCTACAAGGTGTTTCCTTATACTACTAAGGAAAAGTTTATTTGTTAGTCCCAGTTCCTACAAAGTGTTTCCTTATACCACTAAGGAAGAGTTTCTGTGTTAGTCCCTATTCCTAGAAGGTGTTTCCTTATACCACTAGGGAAGAGTTTCTGTGTTAGTCCCTATTTCTAGAAGGTGTTTCCTTATACCACTAAGGAAGAGTTTCTGTGTTAGTCCTTATTTCTAGAAGGTGTTTCCTTATACCACTAAGGAAGAGTTTCTGTGTTAGTCCCTATTTCTAGAAGGTGTTTCCTTATACCAATAAGGAAGAGTTCCTGTGTTAGTCCCTATTCCTAGAAGGTGTTTCCTTTTACCACTAAGGAGGAGTTTCTGTGTTAGTCCCCATTCCTATAACTGTATAATGTGCTTCATCATACCACTAAAGAAAGAGTTTCTGTATTAGTCTTCATTCCTACAGGGTGTTTCAGCACACCAACACAGACTCTACAGAGAAGTTTAAATCTTAATACTAGTACTATTTGTTCATTATATGTTGATATAATTATTTTAATTTCAGCACCAATTCCCAAAGTGTTTTATCAAATCATTTCTCATTTCTCCAAAATGTTCCATAAAATTAAGGGAATAAAGTATTAATCTTAACGCCAACATAATATTAATAACCAGTTATGAACTTTTAGAACCAGCTGCTAACAATATGTACAATTATAAAGATATAGAGAAATAGTATTTTCAGTACTAGACCATTTAGGTGTAATACAAGTTTTTTAGCTCCATTATACAAATGTAAGGTAGTTACAAACTTAGCACTAGCTCATACAAAGGATTCCTTCACACAGACAGAGAGCAGTTAAAGCTCTACTAGGTATACAATCTCTAAGTACAGGACGCTTCAATCTTATTACTAGTTCCTACAGTGTGTTCCATTATAAATTACAGAGTGGGGAAGTATTCGAGTATTTATAAGCATTCATACAAATGTACAAAAGTTAAAAAACTCTCATTAAGTCTAATACAGAACTACAAAATGGATATATGCATAATTTATCAAAAATTTACAATACTTATTTGTATATGCAAGTCGATTTCACTGCAATATACAATTAATTACCTCAGAGTCACATAAAAGTTTATATAATTAACATACTATACATCATCTCTCTTATTAACCAAATTTTAAACACGGTAGCTTAACAGAGTTATTACTTATTTTACTAATTGAATGAATTTTTCAATATTTCACTAACTACTTCTTGAGGTACGTTGAAACTAGGTGTTAAGTCAAGTTCTTGTCGAGAGAGCACAAAATTGACAGTTCCTCCTAATGGAATATCTCTCAAAATTCCAACAGCTTCTTCTTGTGACAAACCAGTCATTTCCATTCCATTGACCTGGAAGTATTATAGATATTTAACATCTTTTAATTTTTTTTCTTTCTTAAATCTATACCCTAAAGCATTTTCTTCAGAAATGACATTAGATGCCATCTAACTTTTATGGTATTTTTGTCTTATTCATCACTAGAAAAACCTAGAAAGGCATGAATGTTAAAACGTTAGATTATCAAAGAGATAATTTTATTAAATATCTTGACATCATTTATCTGGAGATGTTTCTGACTTTTCAAATCATGGATTTTAAATTCATCCTTCACTGTTCATCCATGAATCAGTAATCATTAGAATACAAACTCACAGGCAAGTTAGCAAGAAGATAATTCAACTCATAACCCATTAATAAAGCTTATAAAAATTTTAATCCTTCATTAAGCTATAACACAAGCTATACACAACATTTTCCTTAAAGTTTAGATTAATAATTCATTTTTATTCACCCAATACATGTGTGTAAAACTGATTTCCCTTAGAGTAACAAGATATGTCCACAGATTAATGAGAGATTCAACATGATATTTATTACAAAGTAGTTCTTTGACTTTGACTGTATTGGAGAAAGAAAGAGGCCGGACACAATGTAAAACATAATGAACAATTTTTATTGCTTAGAACACAAGAACATTGTGTGTATTTGCTTTTATTGGAACTGAGCTGATCTTTTTTCCAAACTGCAGTAAATGAAGATTTCTACCCAACAGACACAATCTGACATTACTTAAATAATTCAGTAACGTCAAACTTACCCAGAGCAATTAGTGCTACCCACATGACTGATTATTCCCATTCCATCCTAAATGTGGTCCTTTCATTGGAAGATACTAATGTCAACATCCACACACAAGATGCATCTTTACAGCAATACCCACCCACACACACAGAAACACAACCCACAACCAAAAATCACAACTCAATTGGCTTTGGAATAACTATAGGGAGTTGAGTATGTTATGTGAAAATGATTTTGTATATGCAAGTAAGCAAATAACATGATAATCTCCATATTAAGTTTAAATTGCAGTGGATGGAATGTATAAGAACTATATTTTGACATTGATTGGCATTTTGTAACTTTTGTGATGCCATAAAAACTGATTGCTTTTGGGAACCATATGTAACAGCCTTTCCAATGCAAAATATTTACATATTCACATCATAAACATGTTCAAATTAGTGATTTAGAAATTTTAAGATGATTATATCCCTTGTACTTAATGGCACTAGCAAACAAAGGAATATGGATCAAATTAGAGCACCAGGACCACCCAGAAAGAGACATGCAACAAGTCAGACCCCAGATATGATAAGCGAAGTGCATCATCTTGTAACTAGTGAGAATCTATAAACACAAAGTTCAATAAAAAAAGTGGACCACATGTCCTAACAAACAGTATGAAACATAATAAAAAAGAATCTACACCTGCAAAAGTGACAAGTCATGCGTACACAAGTTGTTTCCACTGTATATTTGTTCAATTGTCACATACCTCAAGAAGTTGGAGAATGAAATGGGTATTCATGCTATTCCATATGCCACTGGATGCAGCACCTATAGACTTGAACTGTTGATACAGGAGATGGAGAACTGTAATTCTCATGCACGTACATTAGATATAATATGGAAAGCAACAGCAAGGAGTGGTATGCTTTGTACATGACAGCCTTATAACAGAGCCTTATTCATGGAAATTACACTGCAGGACTATTATTAAAATGCATGGTCATCATATATAGCATGATTAGATGTGATGGCATACATTGTAACAACATGGTAAGTGTCAGGGTTTTCAATATGAGCTGGGATTATTTTACAGTAGGTGTCTGTGACTTGTTGTCAATAAATTCAAACAATAAACATACAGCACACAATCTACTTGTTTTAAAATAATATATCCAAAACAAGTCAAACACACGTACAAAAAATCTTTACACTATAGGATATCAAGGTTGTATCTAAAATTCTAACTAATTCTTTTTTTCTTCTGTTATCACAATATAATTAGTGATAAGTTCACTTACATTACTCCTTGGGTTACCACAGTTGCATACAGAGCTTTAAATAATTCTCTTTTACATCAAAAGTCCATACAGGCTAGTTCAGTTACTTTAGAACTCAATTGACAAGATGAATTATTTTTCTCTATTCTGTTTCTCACTGCACAATCTGTGATCGATTCACTTACATTACCCCATGGGTTACTACAGTTGTATCCAGAACTTTAAATAATTGTCTCAAAGTACAAACATTTTATATATTGCCCATTATGGATAAACTAACAATCACGCACTTTTATTTCACTTTCACTAACTTAACGTTTTCTTCTTAACTCATTTGGTTATCTATGTCTGTGTAGAACTTTCTGCAAACCACGAGATGGTATGATATAACAATACTCACTTAAGGCAATGAGAAAAATACAGAAGGTTTGAGCAATGCGACGTCAATTTACAACAATTGAACTACATGCACAATGTACAACTCTTACCGAGTTATGTAACAAAAGTTATCATAACTATTGCTTTTAAAGTAATTACTTTTAACACTCTTGTTATGAAAGCTAAATAATCATTAAATATTAGATCACTAAATGAACTAAGTAATAACTCTTACATTAAACAGTCTTGTATATCCAACAGTAAGACTCTCAAATTGTTTTAGTATATTATACTTAACCTCTGTACAATGGTGACCACCATTTAAGGAATTAATTCTTGTCTTTTTCTGGAAATATTTCAATTTCAAGATAAAATAATAAAATTTCCTAATACAGAAAGCTTAACATATATCATAAAGATACAAATGATTGGGTTCTTTAATTTTTGAAAGTCTCTACACCTTCCTAGAATAAGCTAGTGTTTTGTAACTTCAATTATAACACACAGCAAGGTATTACTCTGTTATTCAAGTTTCTTATGATCCTATACATTCTTATATTAAGACCTAGGTATGTGTTTTTTTTTTGGAAACTGAAATATAACAGTAATATAAATGGTTTTCCACTTCTAATCTCTAAACTTACCTAAATCATAACACAAAAAGTTATATTTACCTTTATCAGATACATGTTTCAAAAATTATTCCATTAAACACAGTAGCTTAAAGGTAAAATTTGAAAATACCTCTAAAAGTCTGTCTCCAGGCTTCAGCCTTGCATCTTGAATTGCAGCACCTTTTAGTAAAATATTCTTGATATAAATTGGACAGTTCCCACCAGCAGGATTATCTCTTGTTGTTATACTGAAGCCCAAACCATCAGATCCTAGCACAACAATAATCTTGATTTATTACTTCATTACAACATTGGTTCTTATGTCAATTCAAAAAGAATTTATCCTTAACAGGTTTCAGTACTAAAATTATGACATTATAATAAAGACGAAACATTGACATATGATCAAGTTGGATGAATAAAGATTTGGCATTTCATAATAAGCACTATAGTACTTCACTGGTCATATAATATTCAAACAACAATCATCTTCCTGGAGTTCAAAATAAGATTCTGGAATGTAGCAGCTAGATGATATTTCAATTGTAGTTTTTGTCCCTATAACAATGAAGTCACAAATTAAGAACTGATTAATTAATTTATATTTAATAACTTAGTCTATGCAGTGCAAGTTGGTTGCATTAAACCTTTTCACCACAGATAATTTCTAGTTTTTCACATGTCTTGTGTTTAGTATCTAGTTAATATTGTGGCATATAAGCATACTATGTGTATTCTACCTCCTTCTTTAATATAGCAATTTTTCAAAATTTGTTAGTTGTGCAGGTATGTGCAATTTCCAGATAGCACATTGGGTGAGAAGGCTGTTAAGTTACTATTGTGCTAGCTATTTATTGTTATGTGTCATTCACCTAAAGTAGCAACTTTTGGCTTCCTGCAGTAAAGATAACTGCAAGGTCATCTGTAGTTTGTAAAGTTACAGTTATCTTTTCTATGGGTAGTCAGGTGATCTCTTGAGGTAATTACCCTTTTCTTATATTTCATTGGTAATGACCAGTCACATTAATAGCACTAGTCACTCTGGGTAAATCTAATGTTAAAGAGTTAATTAAGTAATGTAATATTTAGTCAGTCTAGAACACAGTCTAAGTTAGTCTTACTTATGAGATCATCTGAACAGGGTTGTTCCAATCACTGGTAGAACCCTGTGCAAGATAGATTCTGTGCCCCTTCTCAAAAATATCTAATATCCATCTTTGCTTTTGAAGATGTAAACTCCTGCCCGTAAAGCTTGGCACTCTGTGCAGGTGCACAGTTTGCACTCCACTTTGTATGGCCCTGCATCTGAATAAATTAGAACGACTTCAAACATAGCTCTATAGTAACTGTCCATTGTGGCAAGTAAAGTACATTTTTCCCCATGTTTGTTTGAATTATGATTGTCTATTGTGATTGTACATTTGTGTTTATTCTCATTAACTTCAAAGTAACAAAATATTCTGGATACCCAATCAAATAATTGATTTAGATATTTTAACAGGACAGGTAAAAAGCCTTACCTTTTGTTAGTTGTACTGAAAATTTTCGCCCAATTTTCCTTGTGTTTGAGGTAAGAGGAATATTCTTTTGACTTAATGGCACAAATGGAGAAACTTTTATTGATGGCATTACTGTTGCAAAATTTGGATTCAAAACTTCTGTAAACAGGACATTGAAAAAGTTTAGATATCACAAATGCTGTTTTATAATCAATTTAATTATTCAACAGAACCACAATTAATATGCGTTATAAGCATGTATACTATTGACTAAATATCTCACTATAAAGATAAATATTTAAAAAGTATCCCACAAGATCTAAAACAATAAGTCAATATCAATTCGTTATTAATCTTATTGGCCAGTAGATTGATTCATTTTAGTATTATTTCACAAACAACAACTTTATACAAGTGAGTATAAGAAATTCATTTCTTAACATTATTTGAGTAAAATATTATGACAACTATAAATGAAAATGGGGACACATGTTGGGAACTCATTGACCCATATTCCATGTCTCATGGCAGTAAGAAGGTGATGACTCTCAAGTATGAAATGTACATGTATTTGGTCATATTGGATAATAAATCCCACACTATAATATATCATTTTTCAGCAGTCCAGCTAGGAGATGATTAGGAATGTTATCCAATTGAGCTGTATCTGCCATTAGATGTGAGAAACAGCTATTTAAACTTAACTTCAAAGATAACATATCCTCAAAACCCTTTAACCCAGGAATTACCAATGAGGTTCATATGCACCCCCTTGGTTTATAAAGCACATTTTTAATTATACTTATGCACCAAGTTGTTTGTGGGTTATGACTGTTGGTTACAGGACTCCTAGTAACATCCATATGAGATTGCATTGACAGTATGACTGGATAAACAAAAACATGCCAAATATTTGTAAAAACTTACAAAAATTATCCATGTACATTCAAATAGGCTATTTTAAATTTTTGTGTTGCTAAAATCTTGTGTATTATTCTTTTACATTTACTTTTATGTTTTCTTTTACCTTTACTTTTATAGAAAAGAATGAAAATCACATGTCCACTGATCCATCCAGACCATAGGATGAGAAGAATTAATGGATTTAAAGTACAACTTAATTCACACACAATCCAATCAATAGTATGTACTGTTTTGTTTCGTAAGTGTATAAAATCTACTTCAAGAGAAATATTAACACAAAACCTTGTTCCTGTTCTTTCACCAAGTCTGCCTTTTCACTCTCATCTTTTGATCTCTCTTTATGGAACATGTGTTTTGGATAAACAGGAAAAGGAAGCTTTTTAGGGAATTGAGTAGAATATGTAGACAATGAATTCTTGATCAGTCGTATCCTGATCTCCGGTTCTTGTAGAACATCGTTGAATATTTCCTGAGCTTTTTTAGGACTAACATGAAGTAAGCTTTGTCCATTGATATCAATGATATGATCTCCCACATGAAAGCGTCCATCTTGATCAATTCTACCACCAGGTTCAATTGCTTGAACAACTAATCCCCAGTCCCTGCAAAAATATCAACAATGTATAGAAATGTGGAGGTAGTTTATGGTACATTGTAGATAAGTAGCACAAAAAACTACTGTTATTTAATGTAATTGCAATCTGGAAGTAAAATTACCTTCAGTATAATGCTTGGAGATGGCTTGAATGGGTAATAAAGAAAAACTTATATTAAAGTTTTTCTGCATTACCCATTCAAGCCATCTCCAAGCATTATTAGTCTCAAATTCCTCGTCATCAAATTTACCTTCAGTATATATGCACATTAATCAGTATCAGAATATAGTAATGTTGTTTGACCATTCAAGATCACAGGGTATTAAAAATCTCTATCTCACATGCACATTACAAAACATTATTCTGAAAATGTCCTAGTATATTTTCATTGTTTAAATACAACAAGGTATAATAGCAAATCAGAAAAATATATGCTGATAGAATACACTTTTACTGTTTTAATTTTATTCATTATTTAGTTCAAAATTAATTCATCTCAGTATATTTTTAAGAGCAAGATTCTGCTATTCCTGTAGTGTATATGCATTTTAATAAAAACTGTGTCTACATTAACTTCTTACCTTCCATTTGTGTCATAATGTGGAAAAAAAGAAATTCCTAAAGGACCAGATTCATTTTTTAAGACAATGGTGTTTTCTCTAAAAAAAATGAAAGATTAAAAGCATAAAAACTTGTACCTTTCCAAGTTCCACAGAAATTTTAATATGACTTTCTGGCTTATGATTGATAATTTTGCTACCTTTAAATAACAGTGAAATAAGAATAAAAGTAACAACGAATCATCACATACAAGAGACCTATGATCACTTGTATTTTGTATGTGTAGTTCATGGTTTCAACTATCCTCCTCTTACAGCTATATAAAATTGTACAAGGTGAAATTTTACAAACAGCTATATGTAACATTTTAAAAATCTATATCTTGTAGTTGTCTCAAAAAAAAAGTAGAAAAGTCCACTAGGAACGTATGTAATTTCTTATTCCTATATCTGACTTCCCATTTATTGATTGAATGTAATTGCTTAAGTTTTTGTTGCTTTATTTTTTATATATCTTATACAAGTAATAATTCAAAGATTATTAAGTAGACCTCTCCTAAAGTTCAGACCCATAGTGGTAATTAGAGTGCACAAAGCCAAGCTAACTTCCAGTCATGATCCCACTAACTGAAGTAAAACATCCCAATATAAAAAAATAAATGATGTAACACATAAAACAACATTTATAAAACTATTAACTTAAGCACATTAACATACCAGTAATATATATGTCAAGAAATAAATGCAGCATATATCAGTGAGTAATTCAATTATTTATATTTTTGAACTGGTCTAATAGACATTCATTAATGTTATTAAACAGCATGAGGTGTATAGCTTAATATAAATGAAATTACATTTGGCATATTTTTTTTTATATCAGTGTTTATCCTTACACAGAAATGGAGTTTTTGATATGGCAATCATGCTTAAAAATCCTTCAATAATCTTTTATTAACTCACTAAATAAAACAAAGTGTGAAATATAAAAAAAAATATCAGATAAATAACAGCCATCTTTTATTTAAATATATTAGATACATTTAAGCTGAAAATTTTCAATGTTTTGTGACACTGTATATTTCTAGTCAAACTGGTATATTAATTTATCTGCCTTGTTTACTGGGTTAATTTTTAGTTCTGGTCTATGTAGATAGCTGACTTTGATCAGAAGTTATTGCTAATGCATGTAGCACATTAAGGTTTATATGTGAGATTTGCTCATGTGCTTACTACATAATGTTTATATTACCTAAATACATTATTGAAATTCAAAACAACCTTTCTTTGCTGCCACCTGAAGATTCATTATCTCTGTCTTCTAACTGGTCAGGTGGTGCTTCTGGGCCACCAAATGGTTCCTTCCTGATGTCTTGCAACTAAAATTGCAGAGTTATGGGTAAAGTATATAAGAAATGTAGAAATATTTATCCTCTACTAAATAACAAGGCCACATTACTTGTACAATCAAGTTAGTTTTATATGCTGTTTAGAAAAAGAAGAATAAATATGTATAGAAAACAAAAATATGATACAAAACGTTTTTCTATTAGTCATTTCTCTGTTAGTATATACTGTACAAGTATATGTTATTAAAAATAACGACCATGCAAAAATAGTGTTTTAAAGAAAGATCAACTAACAGTTAGTTATTATCAATAGTTGGTACAGTGCAGTATGTAATCTCATAGGATTAAATTAGTGGAAAAGTAGAGCTAAGTTTTAATTGGATTCAAATCATAAATTAAGTTAATGCTGAACTCAGCATTTTATTAATTGTTTAGTATATTCAGTAACGAACAAAAATGAATATGCTTCCACAAATCTATAGTCGCATTTTCATTATGAAATATTCTTTGAAGTTTTACAAAATATATATATCTATACACACACAAGGATATTTATATTATTTTTAACATCTTCTTGTTTATTAGTGTCTGCTATGTAAATAATGTTCCAGAAAAAGTGGGAAGAAACAATTACATGAAGAAATAAATAAGTTAATGTAAGCACTTAAATTAAAACTATTTTTTAGGTGCATTAATAAAAAATTCTCTTCATTAGGCAGGACATGCTAAACTTCTTTTAGGCAGTATATACTAAATTTTTCTGGAATATATTTTTTATGTTTTCATTTAGATGTTTGCTAGAGGGCACATGACATTAAGGTGTGGAAAGTTCATGAAAGTTAAGAATTGAGAAACTTAATGTAATATGTTAAAACAAAGTTATGTACAACATGTATATGAGTAATTTAGTATGTGAAAGTTATTCAGTTAATGAGGTATTAAGTATTCAATGAGTGATTGAGTTCACTTTTAGTAGTGAGAGTTATTGTGTCTACTAGCAAAAAAACTCCAAGTTTATTTGTAAGTTAGGCATAGTTAACATTAGTAACACAGCAAAATAATTTACTAATAATGCTAATAAAATGATAATAAAAGTAATGCATTACTTCATTAGCAATGGTCTTAAAAATCACTGACTGGGGCTGTATTCTTGAGAGTCTTTTTAAGAAAAAAATAAATTTGCCTATGTATCTGTTTCAGAGCTTCTTAAATATTGTCTTAAGAAAGAAATAATCCAGAATAAAATAAATAAATGCTGGTGGACCCTATTTAGAAAAAAATTATTGTGATGTAGGGAAATACATTGCACTTTAGATTTTGGATTAATTTTTGTAGTTATTATTTATACCTGTATAGCTATTACATTGCCTATTACTAAAATAAATAAATAATCATGCAAATTATTCAATTTTTAACTGTTGTTGAAATAATACAGTGCATTCTGGCCTTTTTTTTTTGAGACTCAAATGCTGCTCAGAATGTTCTGCTCATCTACTTCAATGACACAATCACACATGGGAAAACCTTTGATAATGCTTATGATGAGCTAAGGAAAATTTTGGTTCAGTTGAGAAAATAGAACCTTAATCTGAATCCCAAGAAGTATGAATTGTTTCATCATCAGGAGAGTTTCCAGGGGAATATATTCAGCATAGAGGAACTCTACAAAGCCATCTATAATTTAATCTGTTCAGAACTAAATAACACCAAGGAACTTGCATGAAGTAAGAGGATTTCTTGGATTATGATGTTACTCTTGTCATTTTGTAAAATCATTCTCTGACATAGCTTGTGCTTTATAGAAATTACTTGAAAAACCAAGTACATTTTATTGGACTGCTGATTGCGAACAAGTATTTAACAAATTAAAGAAAGAATTAAGCAATACTCCTGTATTAGCTTACCCAACTCATAGAGGCATACCTAAGGGGCTTTCCTGATTGCCTAGAAAGCCACTTCCTCTAAGATCAAGATAAGATTAAGATTATCTAGCAAGAAACTAGCTGCTTTTAGCTATGTCATGTGATGCTGTAATTCTGGCAATTGTTTATATTCTTTGTTTTCGTCAGAGTTGCCAGTCCTTCATTGGTTCATCATTCTTGTTTTATCATAACTTTTTGATCTATCACAGGGTTTTAGTATCACAACATGACTCAACAGCTTTTAAACAAGTATGTACAGACTTCAGTGTGTCGTACAGCCAGATCCCTCACCAGCTTCTCCCAGACCATCAGTTACTGTTGACTCATCATCCAAGAAAAGGTATTGACAGAATTCACCAGAAAATTCACAAGGTATTTTTACTTCTTAGTGTTTCAAAAAATAAAAAGGTCATACTATATAAAGCACAATGGTATATTTTAAGTACTACTTTATTTTTCAAATTTTATCAGATCCCAAGAAGGGTGAGGGATGTAAAATCTTTCATATGCATTGCTGATGAAGTCACTGATGTATCTAACAAAGATTAGCTCAATCTTATTCTGAGGTAACTGTAATAACCTCATATTTGATGACATTGAGTCTGACACTTGTTAAACATACATTTAATAGACTCATAAACAATTATTACTATATTTGAGTAATGTGATTATATTTCACCTGCAAAATTAACAAAGCACAGCACAACATTTGATTATGTTAATTATTATTCTGTACTTGCAGGTATGTGGGTTTCAAGCAATTACAGTCTGGTGGTGACATTATTTGTGAGAATTTGATTAATTTTATAGAGTGCAATGATGGTGTAACTGGCCAAGCAATTGCAGAGATGATAACTGGCCAGTTGAACAAGTATGGATTGAATTGAGGCATTTCAAGGGCAGTTTGAGGATACAGTTTGTTTTGAATTTCATGCAAAGCTACACGAGGGATATCTGTGCTAGCCATCCTTAATTTAGCAGTGAAAGACTACAGAGAAGGCAGCTAGTCATCACCACCAACTCATGGGCTACTCTTCTACCAATAAATAGGGATTGACCATCACATTATAACACCCACATGGCTGAAAGGGCAAGCATGTTTGTTGGGATGGGGGGGTTGAAAGTTGCGACCTGCAGATTACAAGTCGAATACCCTAACCACCTGCCCATGCCAGGCCTTCTGCAAGGTCAAGCCTATGATGGAGCTGGGAACATGGCAGGACATTCAAAGGGTGCTGCTGTCATCATTCTGAAAATCTATCCACTAGCCACATGTTCCCATAGTGTTGCCCACTGCTTTAACCTGTCTGTCATCAAGTCAACAGAAGTTACAAGTAAGTTGCATCAATACGAGGGCATTTACATAAATAAAGGTAATTTACATAGATATTGTGGTTTTACATTTTGCCTGTTTTTACATTCAATAAGCTATATATTTTGGTAGTAGTATTTATATAGAATTAGAATTTTATTACCAATATGCCAATAAAGAATTTTTATGATCTAATTGTTGAAGCTGTGCTAAATACGATGACTACTCTGCAGAAAATGGCCAGCTTCTTTGATGCGCATCCTAAATGTAAAAACTATTTAAAACCATTGAAGATGTCCAACCCAATGCTTCCCATAGAAAGCTGAAGGATCTGTGTAGAACTCAATGGGTGCTGTGGTTTGACACTTTGGATACCTTTCTTCATTTATTTCCTTCTGTTCTTTGCTGTATGGACAGTATTGTAGAGGGAGGATATAAGGAATGGTCAGCTGATTCCATGAATGATGCCAACAGCTTGTTACTCTCCATCACTAGTACTGAGTTCATCATGGCCTTGGTTGTAACCAACCATGCCTTGGAATACCTGAGGGCACTGACATCATGTCTACAGGCAGAAGCAAAGAATATTGTTAATGCATCTCGCAAGATCGTGACAGCTCTTAAAGATGTATGTGTAGAGACTGACAGCTATTTTGAACAATGGTATGTATATGTCATGGTAATTGCGATAATAACATCTAATGATAATTAATAATAATTTTATTAATGCTCATACCTGTCAGTCATTGTATTTGATAAGGAGTGCAAAAACTATTTCCATATCGATTTAGTATTTTTAATTAATAAGTATGCAAATTATAAATCTGTTAACACACTGTGACATGTGTGACAGATACAGTGAGGCTGAGAGAGTCTGCCAGACAGTGGATGTCACCCCCTTCAAGCCACAAACATATGCTAAGCAGTGCAACTGTACCAACATACCAACACATGCTTCAGCACAATACTACTGCCACACCATTGCCATACCCCTCACTGACCACATCATTTCTGACATGGAGACAAGATTTACACCAATCAACCAAAAAGTGCTCCAAGTCTTCTCTTTCAACTCCAGTATCATGGTTACCCTCTCTGCTGCAGAGGTGAAAGTAAGAACAACTTGGTGTAAATGTATAAAGAGGATCTGCCATATCCTGAGAGGCTATGCAGTAAAATTCACCATTGGACTACCCATTGGCAGACTGTAGCTCATCAGGCAACAGTCATCTTACCGTCAACTCCATCCACAACTCTGCAGCACACTAACAGCATATTCCCTAATATCTGTGTGCTGCTTACAATTCTCTGCACACTACCTGTCAAAAAATCCAAGGAGGATGCAGCTGTCAAACATCCTTGCTGATGAAAAGTGAATGGTAACTGCTGTACAGAAAATAACAGTAAAATAATATACAAGTGGGCTATGTGCTGTTTGTTTATTGTTTAAATTTATTGCCTACTGTAAAGAATGTGGCCCATACATAAAACCTGACAAATACTCAATTAAGACAATGAGAAAAACTCGGAAGACTCTAGTAACATGATACAATAATATAACAATAACCAATTCATAACTATTGAACTACACAACGTATGATTTGTAAACAGTTACTTAAATAAACTTGCAATAAATTATCACTTCTAAAAATAACTAAATTTAACACTCACATTTGATAAAGTATCCAAATCATAACTCTCACATTAAACTTAAAGTGAAACAGTCGTGTATGTCTAACACTGGTAAATTTCTGCTATCCAGAAGGCTCGATAACAAGATGGCTACAGAAACTTCAGGAGTACAATTTTAGTATTGTGCACCACCCTGTACAGAAGCATGGAAATCCTATTGCATTATCCTGAAGACCATGTGTTAATGAAGAATGTAAACACTGTGAAATTAGGGGAAGCACAAGATAGTAAAGATAACCAATCTAAAGTGCAACAGAGTATAATTCACAATGTGGTCCAACACTCAACTGAAAGATGCTCAGGCTAAAGATACTAATGTGAAGCTTATTATTCAATAGATCAACAATAGTGTAAAAAATACTCATATCAAACAGTCGTTCCATATAGTACATTGACAATGATGTACATGGCATAATGGGATTTATTATGCCTGTAAGAAACCTTGTTATATTGGAAGTGAAAGGATACCAGTGGACAGAAACAATGAATACAGTCTTTACATTCTCTGTAACATTATCTAATGAAAACTTAAAACAGTTGTTTAATTAAAAATGTAGCTGCTAATGTAAATAATATGAATGTTTCACTTGGTTTTCAGGAAAACTCTTAAAAGTAAGTATATTGATACAGAATGAAGAATGAAAAATAACATCAATTTTCACCAATTACTCTACATTTGTTCAATGAAATAATATTAATTATTCAGTTGAAGAACAATCTAGCATCTGCTAAAAGCAAAATACTTCATATACAAAGGTTTTGGGAAATAAACTAGAGTTTTACATACCCGAAGCAGCTGTCTGTCTGCTGCTTCTTCCCAATGCAGGATGTCAGAACCACTACCTAACATGGACAATCTTCCTGACACTTGACTGGCTCTTACAAATCCAAGTTTTTCTTCTTTCTGACTGCTATCAGCAGGACCAGAAGGTAAATCATTCACAGAATGAATCAGGTCATCATCCTTTAAAAGCAAAACACTGTTACTATCATAAAAACTGGAAATGATCTGATACAAGACTCCTGTTATTATAAACAAAATAGAAGAATTATTAGCTAATTAAGATATGGTAATGGCACCTTACAACACTTTGATAAGTAAACTTAAACTACTGTTTACTAAACCTATAATTAAACAGTAGCCAAGTATTTTGTTCATAAACATAAACAGTAAGGAAAAGAAACTTATGAACACTAAAAATTCCTGAACTTTAAAGTAATGAATAGGAAAAACTAACTAGATCTTGACAACAACGTGCATTATTTAACTTTTCAATCAATCATTTATAAGGATTTACAAATAGAACTACATGGCACAATAATTTTCTTTGATCTTTATTATATAAGCAAAAAATTATCACTTTTTACGTAACAGACAGATATCATTTATAAGTTTATACAAAATTTACAAATATGTGAATGGAAAATAAAAATTTACAAATGAACTGAATATTTTCCTTAAATTGCTTCCTTGTAACAGGTTATGATTTAGAGTTCTTTTAAAACTAATGTTTCTAAATGTTTGATAATGTTTTTTTCTATTCCAATCTTATAACTTTAAAAGCAGAAACTGTAATGTTTTCTTCTGAAAACCTGCTCTTGCATGACAATACCATGTGATACCAGAGTTTCCAGAGCAGTACTAGTTACTGTAATCAAATATTCATTCAGAAGAAAAGGTTTGTTCGTTTTATTCAATCATGCATAAAAAGGTTAAACTATTGTTCTCAATTAATTTTTTCTTTTCTAAAAAATGAATAAATACTGAATATTATTAAAAATTTTCTTTAACCTTTAGGTAAAAAATAACTATTAAGCTTTGCTTCATCCAAAAATCCTTCATTATATTTCCAATTTTTGTTCAGACCAATTAAGCAATGTAACCTAGATGTAATAGCTGGCCATGGTGAAAAACAGTTAAATCATGTTACAATTGTTTATGTTGTGCACACTGCAAGTATTGAAACCTGATTTTTAGCATCATAAGCCCTCACACTTACTACTGAGCCATTGGGGAGTGATGCATTTTCTTTCTAATAACCTAGAAATTATCTACATGAGCCCAAAATGATCAAAGTCATAGATGTTACTGGTTAATATGGATACATGCAGACATCACCTTCCATTCTATTATGAATTTTAACTCCAGCCTAGTCAAATTGTGAATTTATTAATATATATTGTTTTATGAAGCTGGTTTAATTTTCTTAAGTAATTCCAATTTAAAGAAAATATTTAGGTACACTCTGTATGTTAGTCACCCTTTAAAGGATTAGAAGCCCTAATTCCCTCATGAGAGTATTTCCCACACCATTACACCACCTCAAGCAACTTGCACTCAGAACAACGGAATAAGATTTTCTTCACATTTTATTCTACTGTCAATACTTGTTTGCATTTGAGGTAAGCAGTCTAGGATTGGTTGTTGGCTTTCATAACAACACATTTCATGATGTATTTTACAAAAAATCAATTAGAACACTGCCTGCAAGCCATTTATTACACCAAACAAACCTGACTAATCATCATTATCTATGGTTGCACATCAGCAACTGAGGCCATGTTTTTCATAGTGGTAAAAATATTCTATTTAAGCTCATCTAACGATAAGTTATATTGGTTTGAACAACCTGTAAAACAAACAATATATGATAACAATCTTGCTAGATAGCACCCACTTTGAAAAGCTGACAGATGTTTTTTCTCCAAGTCATTTTCCTGCAGACTAACTATGGAATTACTACATTTACATGGCATGGTTTCATGATACATGCCGTGAATCATCTGTCTATATTACATAGTTTGGTAAATGTAGTATTCAATAAATGTGGGTTTTGGGGCCCCAATAAAGTGGTTAATTAGAGTAATTGATGTATTACAAACTAAACTAGTTGTCATGGAGATTCACTGCTATTTGTATGAAATGTTTAAAAATTAGTGTAATAAAATACTAGAAAATATTTAACAGTCTTGTAATATTTTATGGCTAAAATGAACACTGAAAATTGAGCAGTCTTTAAGGAAAGTATTTTTATAACTTTAGTTTGAGAATTTAGTCATTTAAGATACATTTTAAATTATAATCTTCTTGAATGAATAGAGGTAGTCATGGCAGATATTAAGTATTTATAATCAAGGAATAGAGGAAGCCTAAATATAACATTAAAAAAGATATAGATTTCTTTAATTAACTAGGTATTAATTTCTTGTAAATTTATATATAATGCTGTAATTCTTGCTCATTTATAATTTTGAATAATGTAGTTGAATTAACAGTTCTGGTTGTAATTTTATATGTTGTTAGGTTTACAGGTGTACTTAGAAGCAAACACTTGGGGGGAGCAAGTTGAGTAACCCTAATGCTCCTAATTTAAAACTTACACAGATGTGAGATGAATGGTCATAGTGAGCAAAGCACACTCAGCATGCAAAGTGTGCATGCTAGTGCTAGGGTGGGTCTGGGAGTATGCCCCTCAGAAAACTGTAAGCCAAACACATTAAAAACATTGGTTCTGCATATATTTAAAAATGGAAAGCCTTTGGAGGGAAGAAATCAGTTTTGGAGTGGAAAAAGCCCCCCCTTCTATCCACCTTATGGTTGGGTTAGTTGATATTATTGATAATATTTTATAATAAGTTAGACATGCTAGTATATTATTGTCGCAAAGCTACTATTAGTAAATAATCTTTGTATATGTGGCTGCTGAATAATGCTACAATAGACTTCTACACTAATCAGATGTAGTATCTGAGCCAAATATGAACTTAGCTTATTGCATGGTTCCTGGGCAGCAGGAACATCAATGAATAGGGATCACAAAATTAAGCAGAGGAAATTGAGCAAGTGCTCTAAACATAGTGTATGGAATACATTTTATTTCTACAATAGGTATGTTAATTGTAAAGTTTTAAGATCAAGTTCAATATTATAGGAATTTCATGAATAGGAAGATTCAAAACTTTGGAAAACAATTTAATCAAATAAATAATATGTATCATTCAAATACTACAACATGTTGATTATTAACATGAGTATAATCTGAGCCAAAAACTTTTATTAATCAATCAAAAATTAATCTTTCAGGTTTTTTTCGCACATCACAGCTATACTATTATTTAAGGTCCCCCAGTGGCACATTACATTTCCTTAACTCAAAACAACAAGCTGAAACTGAATGGCTTTTAGGACACCAAAATAGTAAGAACTCAAATTCGATCTGATTGTGATTTTTCGTACAGAACAAAAACCCTTTCGCTAGAGCCCCCCAGTGGCACAGCGGTATGTCTGCGGACTTACAATGCTAGAAACCGGGTTTTGATACCTGTGGTGGGCAGAGCACAGATAGTCCATTGTGAAGCTTTGTGCATAACTTCAAACAAACTATTATTTAAACCTCAAATTACAGATATTTTTTACATATCATTCATTATTGATCAGTATAAATTTAGCCAGGAGGGAAGGGGAGGAAAGAAACGTGAGCTTAATCTGCACTTCTCTTGAGGTCTTAGTTATACTCCATATGACAGTAATTATGTCAGTTATTAACTAACTTAAAATATTAGGTACTCCTTTGTCACAGAAATGCTTTTGGATTTTATTTTCTCAAAACTTTATAAAACACTAAAAATTTTTTTAAGTTATAGTCTGCATTCACCTATAAGTATAAGAAAAATTGGGGTTTTTCCTAGTGTGCAATTGATCACAAACTGTGTACCTGAAAAAATATTTGTGCAGTTGAAATATCACCTATATAAGTAAGTTCAAGTGGATAAATATTAAAAAAAAACATATTTAAGATTATAAAATTCCATTCTAGAGGTGACAAATAAATGTATTTACTAGAATATTCTTCGTTTTTGGATAATTTTTACTAGGTGTAATAAGGTGTCATGTATTAAAATATAATTGTGCAGTTGAAAAAAATTCTTAGGAAAAGCTCTGAGACAAATAAACTTTTCACTTTGTAACTAGCCAGTCACTTCTACAAATATTTTTGTAAGCATTCTCATTTGAAAATTTTGAAATAGCAAAATTTAAAATTTGGCTAAACATTTTAAAAACGAATACAAGTTTTCAAAGTAGTATGTTTCACAATGAAGACAGTGAACATATGTTCTGGTAATAAAGGTTAAATAGATTACTAAAACTTGATACTGTTTTTATAATAAAGTAAACATACTTACTGGTAGAGTTCTTGAGGTTCTACACGTTTCACAGTCCATAATGACTGTAGTAGACCACCTCTTACTTGGATCTGGATTGCTGGAAATGGGTGAAAGACAATTAAGAGCTGGCTCACTTCCTCTATGTACATGAATACCTGTTACACCTGGAAATTTAAACCATCAATTTATCAAATTAGATGAAATGATAATTATAAAGAATTTAAACTCAGTTATTATGTGATATGTGAAGAAGTAAATACTTCTTAATATATACACATTAATGTACACTAAAACTGATCAAGAATCTGCAATAATAAATATTACAACTTTTAATCAAAGCCAAGAAAATAAATTTGCCCAGTTAAATTAAACATGAGTATGTGAAACAATATTTATCTTTAACAGAGCCATAATAACGTACTACAATTTCACATGTTATTTTTATGATGATTCTACAAGTTTGATCATTTGTTTCTCACTTAAAACTAGTGCCTTTACTACCAAACAATTTAGATCAGTGTTATACTTAGAGAGATGTTTTTTGTGTACAAGGAATTAGAAATGAGAAAATTTAAAACTTTAATACTATGCAACTGTCAATCTAAACATAAATTATAAGAAATTTTAAAAATTTTGATTTTGAATTGAAAAATAATTCACATAAGGAAATTATTCTTTTCTTTTTTGCACAGATTATATTTGAAAACTATTTCAATAACTGTTAAAATTACAACAAATAATTTTAATTTCAACTTTACAAAATAATCAGGATTTAATTAACTCAAAATTCATTAATTATTTTAACAAAGAGCTATTTTCTAATGGTAATCTATAAATAATGTTTTGCAAAATATAAGATTCAAAAAAGAAAGAGGATTAATACAACCAGAATTATAGTAGTTCTACAGAGATCGGTAAATTGAAACAAGAGAGCCAGAAGATCATAGAAAGATCTTTGACAGACAAGTACTTGTTTTATGTTACTGAAGGTATTAATATTAACGAAATTAATCTATGATTATGAAATTTCTCGTTTAGTTATGCTTCTTGACTTCTAGTTAAATACTCTACAGCATGTGTACCATTGTATATAACTTATAAAATAATTCCAACAAAACAAAATCCAGTAAAATAAAAAGTGCAAGATTTGTTTGTTGTTAAGCAAAAATTACACAATAAGTATCAAAACCCAGTTTTTAGTGGCATGGGTCCCTCAGGCTTACAACTGAGCCATTGGGTGGCTAAATAGTAATAATGAGGCTGTTATCACTCAGTATTCCCAGATGGTAACACTCCCAAGTACTAACCAGGTCCAACACTGAGTGTCTTTATGGATTAGACAAAACCAAAAATACAATAAGAATTAGTGGTAGTTGCAGGGAAATGAAAAGTATGAAATATAAACACAACTTTATCAAACAAGTGTGCTAAAATCAATGTATTTTGCAAACCAATCCATAATTTTTATTACAGGATTTTTTTCAAAGATAATAAGTAGAATGTACGGTAACAAGTATATATTATATTTCAAGTTACCACAGTCTGATATATTAGTTCTAAAACTCAAGTAGGGTTCACTGGCATATATGACTCAGTAGCTGAAGGTGGAGAAGTCTGGACAAGTTTAACTACAATGCAAATGCACATTCATATTTCATGTGAAATGTTTGTGGTTAAAAACAAAAACACTTCATGATAGTGACTTGTCTATCCTCAAGTACTTAGAACTGACGTGATGCCTGGAAACTTCCAGCTATGGAGCTTACAACTACATGTAGGTGTATCTACAAGATATTGTGTGAATTAGATAAAAATAGAAAGTTTTCACGTATTTTCTATACAGTATGTGTTCATCTTCATGCTCACTTACATTTGATTATAAAATGGCCTCCCAGTGGCACAGCGGTATGTCTGTGAACTTACAATGCTAGAATCTGGGTTTCAATTCCCATGGTGGGCAGAGCACAGATAGCCCATTGTGTAGCTTTGTACTTAATTACAAACAAACTTTATAAAATGACAAAACTGTAAGCCCCCAGTGGCACAACAGTATGTCTGCGGACTTACAATGCTAGAAACTGGGTTTTGATACCTGTGGTGGGCAGAGCACAGATAGCCCATTGTGTAGCTTTGTGCTTAATTTCAAACAACAAAAACAACAAACAAACTTGTGAAACAAATAATCTTCCATCTTTAGAGGTGTCAGAACTGGGGGTTCTGTATCAACCCGATATTTACATATTTGACTTATATAGCAACTGTAAATTACTTTATTATATTGATTTTGTGGAAGGGCATATCCCCATACCCCCCTCCCCTAAATTGAGCTGCCTTTAGCAGCACAGAAGCTGCTAAAAGGAGCTCCTTATGCTTTCAATCTTTCTCTGTAAAATTTTCATGTCTATACACAAGCACCCCTACTTTGCAACTCCTTCCTACATCATTGATCTTTATCCAAGTTATGAAATTCTAAACTAATTTTATGGCTTTGCCCATTGCAAAAACACACATGCATACATTTCTCTATAAAATTTTCATGTCTATACACAAGCACCCCTACTTTGCAACTCCTTCCTACATCACTGATCTTTATCCAAGTTATGAAATTCTAAACTAATTTTATGGCTTTGCCCATTGCAAAAACACACATGCATACATTTCTCTATAAAAGTTACACCCCTCAAGTATTTCTGTTATGCAGTTCTAAAAAAAAAAGAGAAATGGTTTGGTAACTAACATAAATCAATTTTGTTAATGTAATATGAAATGATTATACTAAATTAAAGCAAAAAACAGCTTAGTCAAATAATCTCTTTTAAATTACTGTATCATTTATTAAAGAAGAAATAATGATACCATTAGAAATATGATCTGCTGTGTTCTCTATGTCATTTTTACTGTACGACTGTTTTTCTTTAGAATGAATATCTTCACCTCTCCTGAAGATATGAGGACTTTCTGTTATTACAGAGCTAGTACTCATACCATCTCCTCCATTATGAGATGGAAAAGGGGGATCCTGCTCTTCATATATGGCAATTATCTACAGTAGTTGTAAAAATAAAGAAATATCATGACAGGTAGCATAAATCATTTACTTGTATTCTAATTGTTTAGAAGTAGTTTATCTTAAAGACACAAAGACAAACTGACAGAAGTGACTGAACAATTGAAAACTTCCTCAAAATTACCCATTCTCCAGCAATTCATGTTTACCTATAAAATGGTCAATAGTCCCCTCCCCCCAAAAAAACAAATGAAGCAGCAATGAATGATTTTCCAAATATTTCCCATGATGCCTCACATGAACAACATTTTTCACAGCATTGAGTTGACCAGTACTCTTTCAGAAATATTGAGAATATAATTTTTTTTTTAAATCCAAATAAAATAATAAACTGAACCATAAAGTTCTCTTGAAAAATGTAGGTGCTCAGTTGAGTTAATAAAAAATATGCATAGAATACTTCTAATAAAAGTAACATTGCTATTATATTAAAAATTGAATTAAGCATAAAGTGTAGTTTATTGTCTATCAAAACAAAAATAAAATACAATACAACTTCCAGCAAAATTATAGAGACTCTATTCCTTACTTGTTCTCTATCATCAGCTGCATTACTTAACCGATCACCAGGATCAAGTATGCCTTCATCACTGGCTAGTTTGAGATTGTGGATTGTTACCCAGGCATCTGTTGACTTGTAAGAAAAAAAAACAAAGTTATGTTGAGAACAAGAAGGACCTGTGACTACAGGAGGGTGACAGCATGATGTAGTGCATTAGTACTCTCTTTTTTTTTTTACTTTTCTCTATCCAACTGTACACAAAATACAGGAGTTGGCCCAAAAAAGGAAAATGGCTGTTTATATTAAATATAATATGTAATTGACCTACTATGAACCATAAAGGACAGCACTTATTCAGCTGGCAATGAAGAAGCAAGATATTAGAAGGTTTCAACAAGAATATTACTTTCCTTCTGAATTAGAATTACTTCTAATTCCTAAATGAATTTTTGAGCATGAAAGTAATAGGGAAGATCTCATTTCGGGAATATACCCCATAATGTCGTCATTAAATTATCTAGTAACTGGGCAAGCCAGGGTATATATAACTGAAGGCTTTTCTGTGCTCAACAGAGTGTAAAATTGGTACACTGTCTCTTTACAAAACAACATCACCAGTGCTGGTTCAGATGTTGTAGTGACTAGCTGTTATGCTAGATTTGCAATCCACCTGGTACTTCCTGCACCTCTTACAATTGAAATAAAGTCACTGGATGGTGACTGAAGACTTAAGCTGTTTACACATATGAACTCAACAACTTGATTGAAAAAGACTGAATGTTGACTCACCTGATTAGATTACCTTTTCCCACTATTTCCCAGTCCACAGTCAGTTCTTTTTAAACCAATGGAGTTAAAAAGTGCATATCTTGTAGTAATAATGGCTTGTTTGTAGCTACTATTCCTTGGAACTAAAAAAATTAATTTCAGTTGTACATTTTTCAAAGTCCACGAGTTCATTTCTGAAAGACAGTATGTCTATCATTATCTAAAAAGTAAAGTACAGCACAGAAGGTTAGTTTTTTTTTTAACAGACACACACGAGGCCTCTAGAAATGAAGGCTGATGTGATTTTTATATTTGGTAAGCAGTTTTGTCCATTTATAGGAAGAAATTCCAATGCATTTTTTTGTCCAACTCCTGTATATCAATGATTAACTCCTGAAAAATAAAAATTGTTTGCATTATTTTCAAACATCTCTTTAACATAACTACACATAAAACTTTATTGTCTCCCATTAAGATATAAAAAATTTTTCAAATTCAATCCAAAATTTAAAATGAACAATGTGTACTAAGCCATTGTGTTAAACAAATATGTATGAAATTGTTTTGGATAAGCTATAGGTTTCACAAAACCATGCATATCCTATTTCTAACACCACATAGCAAAGCATATATCAATTTAATTATTGTGTTTTATTAATTCAGTATGGTATAATTATAAAGAAAATAACTATTCTAGTGTGGATAATCTTTGTGCAAAACATAAAGTTTTTATGAATCAGTTAACAGGATTTGGTCTTTTTTAATATATGTACCTCATTTCTCCTTTGACAGTGATGAAATGCATATATATAAGTTTCAAAAATGTTCAAATGAATTGTCATATATATATATATATATATGTATATCTGTGTGTGTGTGTGTGTGTGTGTGTGTGTGTGTGTGTGTGTGTATGAATGCACCTTATGTGCATAAGGTGCATTCATACATACACAGAGATTTCTTTATAAAGTATACAAATTTGGCATTAAGCAGAGGTGTTTATAAGCAAATATAATTACAAAGTAACTGTTGGTGAATCTATGTAACTACTATTGACCAAACGTCAAGGTCATTATGTGCAAATAATATACAATTTAAGTTTCTGATGATTAATAAAGACTGTTGTATACATAGGTAGTTCCTAAATAAATGTAGCTGATATTAAGTGGAGCTTATTTACATTACATTGTGTGAGATATAGTTATAAAATTTAATATTTGGTGAATATAAAGAATCCTTCATTTCTTAAAATGATTAAATTTCAAAACTTGTTTTAGAGGGGGAAAAAATCCACCAGAGGCACATTAAAAATCATAAGTTTATTTAGGAAAGTTTTGAACATAGTACAGGGTGTTTAAAAACAGATTATTCTGTCCTAATAATTTTTCTCACAAATTATCATTGCTTTCATTTCTCTTCCCTCTCTCTCTTTCAACAATACAATAGTGATTTATATGAAATATATGTCAGTGTACAAGATTGTGTGAATGTTGTTCAATGATGCTATCAAATAAAAGGCAATTTTAAATTAGGTCAAATGAAATTCCAAAGAGAAAATGGATGTCCAATTAATTTATAAGTGCCATAAAAATCATTTCTATGCAACTGGACTAATAAAAGATGCTCTTCATTCTGCTCAAAATATCAAAGACCAAACTTTTATAGCAGTAAGTGGAAAGATGCTACTCAGGAACTTATTATCCCACAAACTAGTGTAGAAAATAAAAAAAAATAACATTAAAGCTCATGCCATTAAAGATGGTGGTCTACATTTGCAGCTTGACTTTGCATATTTGGCCAGGTTGATTTGTAATGAAATGTAGCTGGGAAACATCCTTTGGGTGAAGCTCACTTTAATCTTGGTGGAGATGTCAACTCAACAAATGCTGACAAGTATACCCATGAAAACTCACACATATTGATAATCATTATTTCAACTTCTTATAACTGAAAATATTCTGCAAATTATGTGTTTTATCTAAAATGGGATAAAAGTGGAGAGCAACCATCAAACAAAGCTGGGTTATTCTGCTTCTCATAAAGAGCATCCTCCAAATTTGTAAATAACTAACCAAGGATCAGGCACCTTCATTATTGCAAAATGTGTACCCCACAAGAAGTACCCTAGCAGTTATCAACAAAACACTACTAAGTAAAAATAATCTCACTTAAAACAGGAACTTCTTTTCAGAATAGCTACACTAACTGATTATTTGTATACTTAAAGCTAGTTGTGAAATATGTTTACTGTGGAAAACCAGCAAGGAGGAGTGATGTACTTTGGACAAAACAGCCTTGTAATGAAGCTTCTTGCAATGGAAACTGTGTTGCAGAGCTGCTGTCACTATTGTCAGATAGAGCAAGATTGGACATGTTAATAGGGAGTATAATGATGTGGTAAATCTCTAAAATCATTTTAAGCTCTGTATACAGATGCTTGCTACCTAAGAAGGGAGTGCATCAATCCTATACAGGCACTACTACCTAAAAAATGAGTTACATACCAAAGGAGGGAGCATCAGATGTACATAAATGTCTGCTACCTAACAAATGAGTCAGTCAGAGGTATACAGATGTCTGTTACCTAACAAAAGAGTACAACAGAGGTATACAGATGTCTGTTACCTAGCAAAGGAGTACATCAGAGGTATACAGATGTCTTCTAACTAGCAAAGGGTTAGATCATCTGTATACAACTGAGTAGAAACGATCCACAAGTCTACTGTCTACAGAAGCATATTACACTGGACACCTCCTTTATACAAGCTCTTTGTGTAGTAGCCTTATTACGGAAAAGTTCATTACATAGTGTTGCGTCAGCGAGGTCATGTGACTAGTGTCACGCCACGTTTTCTAGAAATATCCTGTTTCTTCGTGAATGCCCTAGCATTTGCTAGATTGGGGTAGTCTGGTAT